CGTCTGGTCCCCAAAGGAACTCTGGATCCGAGCTGACTCTTCGGTGCGGTCCCAGAGCCCGGCCTTCGCACCACAAATCAGCCAGTCACTGGATGCAGCAACTCCAGGGAGGGCCCTAAGTCTTGTCTAAGCAGCTCCCTTCGGCTGAAGGGCAGTCCTAGGACAGGACCCCAGCTGTGAGTCATCACCAGCCAACACTCTTCCCGGGAACTGGGGAACGAGTACCTCGATGCTAGAGAGATGGGGGGATCCTGGGGGCCACACCACAGTATCCACTACCTATGAGGACACCGAGGCTCAGGGAAGTTAGGTAACCCACACAAGATCACACAGCCCGTGAACGACAGAGCCAGCACTCACACCCAGGCCACCTGTCCTCTATCTATACTGTGTGTAAAGAACCTACCAAAATGTCATGGCTGCTCAGTAAGCTACAGCTATTCTGTTCTGGGTGCTGGTGGTGACAGGTTCCTGCCATCGCTTCTCCTCCTTTCAGACGCCTGAGAGCTAACAACGGGGGCCTTAAGCATTTTTGGGAAAGGACAGTTCCGTGTATTTCTGACTCTGTTGCGCATCAGAGCTCCACTGATGGATATATTGACCTGATGATGGAAATCCAAGGTTGGCCCCGAGTATCGAAGTGGGGGCCGGAACGTAAATGGGTCCCTGTCTTCCCAGTGTTCAGGAGCTACTTTGGAGTTTGGACCCACGGAGGCTCCTCAAGGATCTCTCTTCCACTGGCCCTGCTTTACCGTCCCTGAGGACCTCTGTGATGAGGTTGCTCTTGTCATGGTGACAGCTTGAAGAGAATGAGGTCGGAGCTGCCTGAGGCTTGGGCAACTTTATGACAAATGGAGGGAAAGGTCGTGTCTCGGTTGGTGAAGTGGGGAGGGCCCCACCCAGAATCTCCCCTGGAGATCCCAGTTATGTGGCACCACCTCCAACAGGGCTTCAGAAGGAACCTTACTTTTAAAAAGAGGAAAACCCAGCAAGCCGTTCAAAGTCAACAAGCTAAATCGAAGCTAAAAGTCCCCTCCGTCCCCCACCTCCTAGCTCATATTCCTTGAGGTCAGAGACAGTCCCTGGATGGAAATGGAGTGGACTACAGAGGAGGGGACACAAAATTTGTGGAGGTCCCGGGCGCTGGAAGCCAGAGCCAACATGGGGACCATGAGGATGTCCATAGCACTGCCTTGTCTCCACTCCAGCTTCAAGGGTTTCCCCATTCATCATATGCTCCCTGCTTGAGCCTGCAAAGTCTACTCCCAGGACGGTCCCAGGTCCCAAGGGCTGCACCTGCACAGCTCTAGCGGGGGCTCCGCGGTGGCCATCCTTTGGCTGGGAAGCTGGAGTGTGTCACCCACAGAGGGAGATACCGGAGCAGTGAGGCAGGTGGGCGACCCTTGCCTGGAGCTGGGACCCACCAACCATGGTGCTGTGAGGGGACCGATGTCCCACTAAACCGCCTTTCCCTCCGCACGACCTCTATTCAGAGACGGGATGACTAGAAGCTCCTCCCCACCCTCCTACCTTCTCTTTTCATCATCCAGCGCATACAGCATTCTGAGTGCTCCTGGCACGCCAGGCCACGCATCCCTCATGGTCACTCTGTGATGATGCACTACTTTTCTTTCTATTTGGCAGCTTTGGGAACCCAAAACACAAAAAAATACCTAGCCCAGTGTCACGGAGCCTGGAGGTGGGGAGGCTGAGGTACCATCCCAGAGACTCATGACCCTAGAGCTCATGCTTATAACCACCAGGCTACACAGCCTCTCCCTCCCCACAGAGAATCGGCTGCCCCTTCCCTGGGGAGGGTGGACTCCCTCATTAGGCAAAACCTCCCAACTGCCCTCTCCTTCCTTTACTCTCCTTAAGCACCAGGCAGGAATAGGTCACGGTGCCCAACTCTCAGTGACACCCATCCCACCCCGGCCCCCCACCCCCACCCCCACCCCCAAGCCTGTGTGTCTTCCCTTTGAACGCCCTGGGATGCTTCAAGAGGAAATGGGACGCTCAGAATATTGACCCGCACCAAAGCGGATTGTGCTCTTGAAAGGAGGCATAACTGACACTCAGCCAAGTAAAAATTGAGGCTGTTTCAAGGGAGGGGGTGTAATTTTCCTGGAGAGCAGGCTGGGGTACTGACTTCCACAGGCTTACATAAAATAAACTGAAGAGTGTTAGAGCAGGTTACGAGACTTCTATGACTTTATAAACACAGCCATCAGCTAGTCACTAATTAATCCTTAGTTAACACCAATTAATCATTAAGAGAACGCAACCCTTCATCAGCCCATGAGGCCTCAAAAGCAGAGCAATGTTCAGGCCCAGTATCTCACCTTGGGTAACATATGTGAAATCTATTCTTTAAATCGACCCGCTGACACACAGCCAACCACAGTCAACCCATCGTCGCCAACTGAGAAACTCTGCATCAAGCCACACTTTCAGTGACACCTAACAGAGCCCGGAAAGGAAACAGCTGCAGGTGAGCCCCTCTCTGCTCATTTCAAAGGCCAGAAGATGTCAGAAGAGATAATATTGTACAGGGAGGCAGAAAACACTGAAGGTCAAGTGCGGTCAACATTCCAAGTCGCTCGGTTTTTATACGGGGGTTACGCCATGCCAGCCATTGTAGCAAATCCAGTGTAGAACCAGAATGTCAGGAGACAAAGCTCCTGGTTTAGAGGATTTATGATTTTATTGGAATGTTAAGACTCACATGTGGGTGGAAACAAGAAAATCATACTATACCTAAATAAGCAGGGGCTGAGAGATGTCATAAAAACTCAGGGAAAGGGGAGCCTGGGTGGCTCAGTCAGTTAAGCTTCCGACTCTTCAGATAGGCTCAGGTCATAACCTCATGGTTCGTGAGTTCAAGCCCCACATCACGCTTGGCACCGTGGCACGGGGCCTGCTTGGAATTCTCTCTCTCTCCCTCTATCTCTGCCCCTCTCCTGCTCACACACACACACATACACACACACACTCAAAATAGATAAAACAAACATTAAAAAGAGTTTTAAAAAAACCTCAGAAATAAAAAAACAAATGTGGGCTGGAGTTGGTCAGCAGAGATTTTAAGGAAAACATGGGATATCGGGGGTCTATGAAAACAGCAAAATGGTGGAGGGGCAGGTAGGCCTTTCATTCAAGGACGGTGTAAATACAGGCAGAACAGTGACGGCAAGAAGCGTAGGGACCAATGCTGGAAAAGACACAGGCTTTCCTGGAGAAGAGACCAGCTTTTCTGGGGAGAGGGGGGCCTGAAGGCTGGGTAGGCAGGTGAGCTCACACGTCAGGAATTTGCAATTGGTTCCATCAGGTAGGAGGGAGCCACTGTGGTTTCTTCAGTAGCAGACCACATTTCTCAAGCAGGCTCATGATGTTTATAACAAAACTAAACCAAAAACAGTGCTTTGGGAAGATTAATCTGGAATCTGAGCGGTAGATAGATGAATTGCTAATGAGAGGGCAATGGAGCGATAATCTCGTCACCCAGGTACAAATTAATAAGAGCCTGTAATAAGAGGGATATTAAGATTGGGGAAGAAGGAAGGAGCCTAACAACAGGAAAAAGATAGGATTTGGTGGCTGATTAGTCAGGGAAGCGGAAAGGGGATTAATACTAGGAAATGATAGTGTCTTTGACAAGATAAGTGGCTTTTTTCCATACTTGGAAATATGACAGCTCTGGGGCATGGAACTGAGTGAAAACGAAGAAGTCAGGGAGCTGGTTTGTGGGAGTAGGTGATAAGTCTGTTCTCAGCCATGCTTAGTGTGAGGTTCCATACTGGAACTTGGGTTAGATTCCACTATCCACCCCGACTACAGACACCCTTGTCTTTTAGTTGACCATTTCTAAGATAAAGCCAATGGATGCACAGAGCAGAGGTTTTCACTGAATTATTCTAGCTTCACAAAAGCATTTCTTTGTTGTTTTCCATTTGTGTGTCTGTTTCATAAAATCCTATGACTCAAACAAGCAGTCATCTTGATAATTTCCAGGGACACTGGAGCTACGGGGGCTTGGGTCTTCCAGGCCAAAATCAAAAGCCAGCAAATGGCCAGAGAGGGGGAAGCAGGACATCCAGGCGTCTTTGCTTCGAACCTTCTGAATTTCCTCCCCTTACAGCGTAACGCGTTCTGACCACGCATAACCTCTGCTTAGGATGGTGATTCCAAAGGATTGGAATATTTTTGCCCGCTCTCTGAAATCAGAGGTTTGCACCACACCCTACATTTTAGTTAAAAATCTCAAACATCCATTAGCATCCCCAAAGGATGTGCTATTTTTAGCTTTTAAGTCTGAAAATATTTTTACATATTTCCAACACATTGTTTTTAATCGATTTTCCTCCCATTCATTTTCGCTTCATTCATCAGAATGTGGTCAGCTGGGCTAGAGAGACGAGAAGGAATCAAGTCATTGGATTGGTTTGTAAATGGTTGAAAATGTGTATTTGCCATTTGGTTGGGTGATTTATCCTTTAAGATGGAGCCTGAGCCTATAAAAAATTGAAGTGGGATCTGAACATGGCAAAACGTGTTTGCTTTTCTTAGATAAATCTGTTAGTCTGCGCTGGGAAATGGCATCGTTCCCCCCATTGGAAATTATGCTTCCCACACAACATCCGCCACTCTGCCTTCCCTCACAGATTTCCCCAAGCAAAGTTCAAAATCCTGCCTGTGTTTGTAGTCAGTCCCCTGGTGAAGCCATTCATTTAGTCTTTCCATTTGGGCTCTCTGAGAAGAGCTCCACGACAGGATCCTTTTCGAAAGAGCGCTGGGCAACTAGTCCAACACGTAGCTACAGGTACCTTCTGAATTGGGTCTCTCAGAGCAAATTGTCAAGGAAAAAGCCAAAGTTTCCAGACAACGAAGAAGGAAGGCAAAGAATGGGATCTGGCATCCGATAAAATTCAGAGGGGATAGGTGCAAAAACACTGATACTCTAGACAAACAGATCGCTTCCTGGTATGGTCATACCGACTTACCAGATTTAGGAAGGTCAAGTATTTCCACTGTCCACCATTTAGAAAGATTTTGGATTTCCGCTGGTCCCCTCCTTGCTGCGAGATGTAGTAATTGAGAAAAAGATACCAGCTCCAAACAAGGAAGTGGTAAATGCATGTGCAAGTTCTCCTCATGGCTAGCTCTGACCACGGAGCCGTGAATGTCTCAGGGAGCTCTCCTCGGCGTCCTTCTCCTCCTGTGGGTCACAGTTGGAGTCCCGGGGCATGCCAGAGAGCTGTAAAATACACCCCTCAGGGATCGAGAGTTCCAACAGGGCTGAATTTTGCTTCTCTCATAGGCTCCCTCCCTGATAAACTTGGGAGACAGGATTATTCGTGGCTTTGAGATGCTTTCCTTTAGATAACAAGTAATCCTCAGATTTGCATAAATACTTAGGCAGGGAGGAAGGCCAGAACTGCCCTTTGCACTGTTTGGCTGGGGTGGGGGTTAAATGACCTTATTGTGAAACGCCAATAAACTAACAAATACTGTCCTGGCCACATTCTCTTTTCTTTCCTTTTCATTTGGACAGAACAAGAAAGCTGGGACAATACTTCTTGCTAGATGAGGATCAGGTCGATGTACCAGAAGGGAGACATTACGGGCATGTTTATGCCACCGAGGGAGAGGGAGGTAAGGAGAATGGAAAAGGCTGTTGTAATCTTGTTCCCGAGGTCTCCAGGGCCCTATGAAACCTGCAACAAACTTTGCTCTCCGGGGAACGGCTCCAAGGCTTTTTTTTTTTTTTTTTTTTAAGTTTTATTTCTAAGCCCAAGAGAATCAAAGGTTAGCCAGGGCTCCCCCAGATATTTATTTGCATGGGTATTTCTGAGCCCTGAGAGGGAAGAAGCATAGCGTGAGGAAGAGATATGTAGTCATGACCCCAACATACCTGAGTTTAGACATTGCTGGGAGACAGTGAGGGTCTCTGCATTGCCTTCGAGAGGACGAGCATGTGCTCCGGCCGGGCAGCAGAACCGGGCCCTGCTCAGGTTCAACAGGAGGACCCTGAGAGAGCGCCAGAAGTGTCATACCTTGTGACATCACCAGCTTGTTTCCCCGGGCAACTGACTCAGAGGGTTCTAAGCAAATCCCCAAGGGAAGGGCTCCCAGTGCCAGTATGTAAGTCTGGAGTTGATGCTGTTGCATGATTTAATCAGGGCTTGCGAGTACTGGGAGAAAGAACCATAGGCTGCACGTGGGCTGCAAAAGAAAAACAGACCCACCTCCTAAGAGTCATCAGGCCCCAGACATCAGGAAGCGTGGTAGATGGTGGCCCAGGGTGCGGAGCGCAAACCCGAGCCAGCAATGGAGGGTCTTCCTCATAAGTGTTGCCAAGGGAGAGGGTGATCTGGCAAAAATGGTGACATAAAACTATAGACACAACTCCATCCATGGCCTGGGTTAAAATTGCAAATGACAGGGGCGCCTGGGTGCCTCGGTCGGTTGAGCGTCCACCCTCGGCTCGGATTGTGATCTCGCAGTTCGTGAGTTCGAGCCCGCCGCCCAGCTCACTGCTGTCAGCACAGAGCCTGCTGCAGATCCCCCGTCCCCTTCTCTCTCTGCCCCTCACCTGCTCATGCTTTCTCTCATCCTCAAAACATTAAATGAATAAAATAATGGCAAATTACAAAAGCAGCTAATGCTTTGCCAATACTTACTGTGACAGGCCTTGTTCTGAGTGCTTCACACCTTAGCTCGGTTAACACTCTAAACACCACTATGAAGTAAGTACCACGATGAACCTCACTATTAGGAACTCCATTCTCAGATGAGGAAATGGAAGCCAGGCTGCTAAAAGGATGCTCGAAAAGTAGCAAGAGACAGAGCTACAGTCTGCACTCTAACCAGCGAGCCTGACCACAAAGCGACAATGTTTGCTCTGCAGAACCTATGACTTCCTTTGCAAACGTTTCTCCACTCCCCGCTAACCCCTCTTATTTCTCTATCTCTCCCATGGGAAAGTTCTCTCAGGAAAGGACAGGTCCGTTTTGAAACTTGGCGCACATATAAGCTATTGTGCTATGTCTCCTGGGGTGTTTTCACGGTACCTGCCATTATGGATTTAGGGGTTTTATCCCCTTACACAAAAATATCAAGCAAAAATCTGCAGATGTGTAAGGATTTGGGGAAAAAGTGAGAAAAGAGAGGAAGAGAAACATGCAAATGTCTGGGATGCGTACACCAACCTGGGGGTACCTTTTAACACCAGGATTTTTTTTCTTTCCTGCATTAACCTCAATGCCCATCGATGAAGCCTTTCATAAATATTGATACGATTATTTAAATGTGTAAGTTGCTCAATGTTTGACATTGGAATCCAATCGTCAGCTTTTTAATGAATGGATAAGATGATATATGAGGATTTGTGTATAGAAAATATATAATTTTTTAATTCAGCATATTTCTTATAAAAATGTTGTGAAAATGAAATTCTACCTGTGACCATGTTCACATCACAGTTTGTACCTGTGGTTGAATAATAACCAGATACATTTTCATGAAGCACTTTGGCCATCTGTCTCCTGCTCTGAGAACAGGTAGAGTTCTGGGGAATAATGAGTGTTACTGTTTAGCTACACAATATTATAAACTAATACATACTAAATCTGCTGTTAGCCTGCCTTTCTCCATTTTCCAAGTATCTTGAGACCTCACATCATATCCAGGCGAAGCAACAGAGAATTGTTTCCTAATTTAATAAAAAACTGACAGAAACATGCATTTTTTTCCATAGGAAGTACTAAAAACATACAATAAGCATATTTTATACTTTGAATTGAACAGATAACTTGACTACTAAAAAGAACATTCTTTGAAACTCTCTACCCTCTGGGAGTTTGGAACACCAGTCTTTGATGTCACAAATGCTTACTGAGCAACTGCTAACTGCCAAGTACTGTGGATTCCTTGGGGAAAGAGAGAGAGAGAGAAATATTGAGAGATCCAATCCCTGGCCTCATGGAATCTTTTTTCTAGTAGGGGGTATGGACATTAAAGAATAATACAATTGGGTGTTAATTTATAATTCTGGTAACTTCTGTGGAGGATAATAGCACAAGACCTGGAGTGGTCTGAGGTCAGGGAAGCTGGCCCTAGGAAGCCACACATGACCAGGGCTGCCCTCCCCATGCCCCCAACATGCTCTGACTGTTCTACCCAGTCTTTTGTGTGAGCTCCTCTATCTTTGCTCTTCCTTATGTGTTGGTGTTTCCCAGGGACCTGCTCCAGCCCTCTGGCCATCTCCTTACATACCCACCCTGGTGACACCGCCCACCACAAATCACAGTGTTTGCCACTACTTTCCAGTTTATGACCACAAATTTTATATATGTACTCCCAGCCCTCTCCCCATCCTCACAAAGCTTCAAATAGATCTTTGAGTACATGTTGCATATTTCCTGAATGAGTCAGATGCACCTCAAACTCAAGATATCTTAAACTCACCGTCTTGCCCCAAACCTGACTTTCTGTCTTTATCCTCTGTCTTGAGGGGATGGCCCCATGGTCCATCTGGGAGTCTTCCTGGTCTCCTCTGTCTCCCTCTTTCCCCAGATCCTGACAACTTCATCTCTAAATCAAGCACAAGTCGGTCCTCTTCTTTCCATTCTGTCTCTAACTGCCCCGGTTCAAGTCTTTCCAATCTCTTTCCAGGACCACGACAACCGTCTTCTACCTGGTTTTCCTGATTCTAGTCTTATCCCCAACTTGGTATTCTCTCCAGCCTCATTTTGGTTTTACATTTGATGTTCCTCCAGCCACACCTGGCTATGTCGTGTGCCAGTGCCTTTGACTGGATACCATCCTCTAAAAAATGCAGCTCGGCACTTTCCTTCTCTAGGAATCCTTCCCTGAACATCTCCTCAAACAGGCCATATTATGGCCTTTTGTAGCAACCTGGATGGAACTGGAGAGTGTGATGCTAAGTGAAATAAGTCATACAGAGAAAGACAGATACCATATGTTTTCACTCTGATGTGGAGCCTGAGAAACTTACCAGAAGACCATGGGGGAAGGGAAGGAAAAAAAAAAAAAAAAAGAAAGAAAGGTTAGAGAGGGAGGGAGCCAAAGAAACTCTTAAAAACTAAGAACAAACTGAGGGTTGATTGGGGCTGGGAGGGAAGGGTGGGTGGGTGATGGGCATTGAGGAGGGCACCTGTTGGGATGAGCACTGGGTGTTGTATGGAAACCAATGTGACAATAAATTTCATACTTAAAAAAAACAGGCCATATTAAATATTCCCCTCTAGTTTTCTTTAATACCCTGTGCATCTCTGCAAATTGCATGATGATTATTAGCGTCTTAGTCCATTCAGGATGCTATAACAAAAAAAAAACAAAAAAAAACAACATAGACTGAGTAGCTTATAAACAACAAAAATGTATTTCCTTCAGTTCTGGAGTCTGGGAAGTGCAAGGTCAAGGCGCCAGCAGATGTAGTGTCTGATGAGAGCTGCCAGGTTCATAGACGGTCATCTTCCTACAACTCCGCATGTGAGGAGAGGTGAGGGATCCCTCTGGGGACTCCTATGTAAGGGCAATAATCCCATTCATGAGCGCTCCACCCTAAGGGTCTAATCACCTCTCCAACGTCTCACCTCCTAATACCATCACTTTGAAGGTTAAGATTTCAACACAAAAATTTTGGAGAAACAAAAGATTTACTCCATAGCAATTAGAAATGAATCTCTTTAATCAACTGTCCTCTCCCTGGGTTTAGAGGTGGTGTTTGGGGATTCTTAGAGCTCAGCATAGTGCTGGACACACAGTAAAAACTCAAGAAATATACTAAATACACTAAAGTGTTCAGCTGCTTAGTTCTACGGACGAGCTGGAACACTAAGATGACTAAGGTATATCCCGGGCTCTGGAGGAACTCACAGTCAAGTGGCAGAGACAGATATCTAAACAAAAAAATTACAGCATGATGTGATAAGTACTATAACAGAGGCACACATAGCCTACTAATGGAACCTAAATTATCCTGCATATTTTCCATCATTCTAAATATACAGAAGATTGAGTTCAAGATAAATGCGTTGAGTGAATCATGGGAAAACTCCAGAAGCTATGTAGGAGAAGATAAAGATTAAAGCGATTTCACTGAACACAGTAGCTCTGGCCGCCAGCATGG